GCCTACTCCAAATACTCTGGGGGCCAGCCTGGAAAGGGAGAGATGAGGCAAGGTACAATCTCTGGTACAAGATGGACTTTTCAGAAATTACTCTCTGTTTGCAGAAAATCCTGGGAAAATGAAGACTGAGTCACTTGCTGACCAAGAGATAGAAATCTTCACCTTCAGTGAAGCAGTGCAAGACATCTGAACTGGTAATTCCACCCAATGCAGAGGGAAATGATCCATCTAAGCACTCTATGTGCCCTTGGATGGGTATTTTTCATATGAACTATTAAAAAGAGAGACTAACACAGTCCAGCAAACTGGCAGCAGTAACCTGGCTTCAGTGGTGAGCACCCAGGCACAGCACATGGGTCTGTGAGACTGCTTGAAATTGTTCCATTTCCAGTACACAGCAGAACCTCCAGGTGAATAACTTGTGAACTGGGAAAACGTGAATTCAGCTGGAGCCTGATCACTTTTTGACCACTCTTCTGATAGATCTGAAATATATGGGGTAGGGAGAGAACCAGAGAAATTTTTCATGTGCCACTATTTTTCTCTGCTGTTACATTTTCTAAAGTATAAAGTTGGGTTTCTATATTATAAAGCAGGGTAATCTAGGTCTCACCCATGGTTTTATCACCACCCTCCACGTCTTCAAGAATTTTAAATGTTCAAGGTAAACTCACCTTGGGTATGATGTTTTTCAAGCCCTAAATGTAACTACAGATTTTCTTTCTTTCAAGTACAGGCTGATTTTGTTGTACCAAACTTAGTAAGTTGATTCTGACTCCAGTGTGTGGCACCACAATATCACTTGCTTCACACTCCAGTGGTGATTCTGTGCTGTCATACTACAGTAGGAAAGGTCAAAATCTGATCACTCCATGTTAAAGAGGCTTTACCTTCCTTTCTCCCTTTCAGGCTAGCTAAATACTTATTTTCAGTGTATTTAGAAAAACTCTAATAAAGTTTAATACTGAATTTCAGTTGAAAGTATGATTCATAATGTAATATACTGTAATACAGTCCTAAAACTCTTTTTCTTCTTCCTTGTAGTTTGCAGTTCTCTGATGTCCCCCTCAGCTTTAGTTTCCAAAACTCCACAAAATACAGGAAATTCAACTAAGGTATTCCACAGAGTAACATGGCTTCTGTGGTGCTATTTTTTTTTTACATAAGGACATCTTAAACTTAGACAACTGCAAGAGGGAAGAAAACAATTAGGAATTAAAATATTAATGCAGTAAATAATCTTTTTTCCTCTGAAGGAGGAGTACAGTATTTTTCTGTGATCTCTCCACTAACTTTTCCTGTTTACTCAGGTCCTCTTCACCTAGTTCAGGGTAAAGTGGAGCCAAAATCCAAAGCAGAACTTCACCAAATTGTTCTTTTACTTTGGCTAGAAATTCTGTCTTAGTTAGGAAACATATTTTAGTGGAAAATACAAACAGGAAGAAGAAGGAAGTGTCTACAGTTCTGCTTTTAAACAGCTTAGCTCAATGGGGCCTCTGATCTCCAATGAAGCCTTGAGTGCTTTGCCATGCAATTAAGAAGCTAATTATCCTCATGCTGACGTGTCACTTTTAGGGCACTTTCCCCAACAATGTGATAATTTCTCTTTTCAGATTAATGTGTAAACACTTTCATGGATATAAATGTTTGTACAAAAGAATTGCTTTTATGTAAACACTTCACTGGTGAGAGTCACAGAAACCTATTGATGCACAAAATTTAGCATATATTTCCAGTGCTACTCATGTGTTTGTTCCATCTCTGAGAGCACAAACCAGGGGTAATGAGGAGCATTCTGGATTTGATCCTTTTATATTCTGTCATGTGTCTTGTCTGCTTTATTCACATATCAAACACCAGTCACTGTACTATAGAGAAGCTGCTAAGCTGCAGAAACAGGCTGTAATAAGCTTTTCAAGCACCTGATGTGGAAAAACAGAATACTTGTTTATATATTCTGGGAAGTTTTGGAAATGTGGGTTAAACATGCAGTATCTATAAGATGCAGAATATTTTATTTTACAACACCAGCAGTTATAACAGTGTGAGAATTTTCACTTTACTTTGTATCATAGCAACTAATGAAGCCATTACTTTTTTCTGAATTCAGTTCACTAATAGTTTCACTGGAAAACTTACCCAAAACACTTCACCAGAGGCATCCCTAATGTTCTGCCAGTAAATAACATATTTCATTTATAAACCTGTTTTCCGTCCCACTTGGCTGGTCCTTTAGAAGCCTGTCAATAGACCAGGGAAATCCAATTTTCGAACTCAGCTAAATCTCATTTTCAAAAGTGACTTCAGTGCTCAGAACTTGTGCTCACTTCAGTCAAAGATATGACTGTAATTCAGATAGGCATCGGCACCAAATAACTGTGCGAGGTATGATCCTGATACTTCTGACCCAGCACAGGGGCCAAATGGGAGAACTTGCAGTAAATTCTGGATGGTTTTCTGACCCCTGCCTGGGCTGCCATGGTTATATCACTCTGCTCTAATGCTATCTTTGATCTTGCTGTGCAAGTTGCAGTCTGAGCTCAGCTCTTCACAGACAGGGTGCCCATGTGCATGATTTTACATTGATACGTTTTACCTTATGCTTGCAGTGGGCTAAAAGTGATTACTTTAGTGATAGCTATGAGGCCCACTTTAAAAACATTAAATGAAAACCCGTGATTACTTTAGTGATAGCTATGAGGCCCACTTTAAAAACATTAAATGAAAACCCCTAGCACAATCCTAATTTTGAACACACACAATTTGATTTTATAAAGGCACAATTAAAAACTGAATAGCTTAAACCAGTACTATTGTGTAAAAGGCAGGAAGAATCCAACTAATCATTCAAAAGCTGCTGAATCAAACACAGTTCTAGCACATATGGAGAATATTTTGCCTTTTAGTATGGGTGTTAAGCACTGAGCTGCCTTGAGCTGAGCTGCCTAGCAGAAGCCACTGCAGTGCAAAGTAACCCCCTCACAGCTGGTGGGTTTTGTGCCTCTGGGTAAAGCTTGCCCTGGTTCAGTAAGTCCTGAATATGAGTGGGTGTTAATACTTACAGCAATCTGTAGAAGGGAAAAGAGCATATAGGATACAAATCCACACCTCATTTTATTCCTCATTTTATTTAACTAAATATTTAAGCATGTGTACAAGTCCCTTGAGGCCTCCAGTGGGAGTGCTGAGGAATTTTTACTTGCTCAGCAGCTGCAAAGTTTTAAGGAAATATAAAACTTTATATGAAGAGGAATAATAAGTCACAAGGAAAAAAAAATCTGCAACTCACATCATTTTAACTGGAGATACATGCAGCATGTTAGCAATTCAAAAAGAGATTGTTTCATATCCACAAGACCACAAGACTGAGTAAATGTAACTCCATGGAAGAATTGTGCAAGTAAATAGATCTCACAAAAAGTTACCTCATGGCATTTTCTGTACTTGGCAAAGAATAGTCAGCCAATTAAGCCATTGAAATTGACTTCTGATTTAATTACTTGAATTTCTGACTCTCTGAATATTCAGTCTTACACACAGTAAAATGACCTCATGACTGAGCATTAAGACCTAATGGTATCATGGCTAAAAAAAGCTGTGGCTTTACCATGCTAGAGACTGCTTTCTGAAATGAGAAAACAGTATAATTACTAAACTGTTTGGGGAATTCTCATTGATAATACATACTGTCAACTTTTCTTCTGCCAGGTTTTAAATTACACTGTCTAGGTGTTACATGTTCCCTCATTTTTAAATACATTTTCTCCCAGCTTTGCTTCTAAAACTCACTGTAAGTCAGCTGCTTCCCTAGCCTAGTACTAGTATTTTTAGAGTTTTATTATGTGCATGTGAATGACTTATTACTGCAGGATTGCTCATAAGTACAGGTTCACACTTTGGATTCTTCCCAAGTACATGAAATAACTTGATTTCAACTCCAAAATTTTCAATATACTGCCAATTTTAAAACTTGTATGTGCTCTTATCTGAGGTGTTTGACACAAGCCATCAATTCTAGCATTTTCTTTTCTATATGTATATATATTCCACAAAGCAATAAGGAAAGGTCAAACTGGTGACTGTTAAAGCTTCTATTAAGAAATGTCATGAGGTTATTACATTTTAATCACTGTACAAAAGAGGTATCTTTCAGAAAATCTCTTTCTAATCAAAGAAAATTTGCAATTCTCAAACAGGGGAAAGCTTCACATGAGTCTAATGGTTATAAAACTTCATCTGCTTTGATCTTCCCAGGAGGAAGATGTTATGGGAAACATAACATCCCAGGAGGAAGATGTTATGGGAAAGTGTGTTCCCCTCTATTCTGTTTGATAGCCCAGTCTTAGAAGAAGCTGCTATATTTTCTTTGAATCTTTTTCAATACGCTGATGACCTCTCTCAATGGAGAAAACTTCATCACAGCCTTTTAAGAATGAATATGTCAACATGCAGTATTATAATAAGCTAAAGGGAAATACAAAAACAGCTGAAGGTTTGCAAGTATTTTGTTGGTGTTGTCCATTATGGTATTGAACCAGAAAAAGCTGGACTTTTCTAATTCCCAGTGTCCTACCCCATAAAATCTTAGTGTTAGCTCTTCAAAAAAAGCATAAGACCTTACTCAAGACATTATGGCTTGGCTCAAGGCTTTGAACATGAAAATCCTGGCTGAGGCACACTGTTAGATTATTGAAACTTTGGGGTCACAGTCTGCCATTGATGTGTGATGCTTGCTTTGATTTTTATGATCAGAGGGGATATATTAATTTATACTCCTTTGACTGCCTTAGAAATAGCATCAGAATTGCCAAGAGAATTAGGTCACACTTCTTTGGGAAAACTCAGTGTCCGTTATAAGAATGACAAGAGACAGAATAATCTCCAGTGAATCCTATTCAGTGTAAATTGAGAAGAACTACATGCTGAAATGATAAACAACATTGTGTCTGAACTCTACAGCATCAAATTATAAAACAAAGTTAACTTCTCTTTGTGCTCACCTTTGATGTGCCTCATTGATGGCAATGGGAGTTCAACACAAGGACAATTTAGATACCATGCAGACATCAGGAATGCAAGCTAACAGCTTTTTCAACTGGCAGATTTCTGCAGAGCCTTGTAAGAGAGTCAGTGTTGCCTTCAGTAAACATGTTTTGGCATCTAAAGCATTCCAATTTCCCTGGGTTTCAGTTGTGAATACTCCCAGTTCAGAAGTTCCACCAAACGGATTCATGAAGGCTCTCTGCAGAGCTCTACGAGCTCTGACACACTGTAGTAAACTTCTTACAGGAAAGTCCTCAACACAGAGCTGCTTTTCAGTTTTCTGCAGGGTTATATTTGTAGCTGCTGTGGCTATAGGAAGCTTTTTCTCACAGAAGGGGTCCTGTGCTGGGCATCCTGCAAAGCAGCGAGGAGTGAGACACACTGAGGTCAATGCTACAAACACCAAGGACAGAGAAGAAAGAGAGGGAGGAGGAGCTCCAGTCTCTGGAGCTGGAATTTCTCTGCAGCCTGTGGAGAGGACTACACTAGAACAGATATCTACACTTCAGCTCATGGAGAACCCCAGGCCGGAGCAGATGTTCCTGAGAGGTACTGCACCCCAGCTCCAGATTCAATTCATTTTCCACAAATCGAGGCTGTTTGCTCCTGTCATGCTCCCTAAATATAACAAGAACACCCTTCCTATATTCCCGGATGTTTTCTTTATTAAGGGAGACTGAAAGAGGAGCCAGAATATGTCAGGTAGAGTAATGGGACCAGCTTGGAAATAAATTATTAAAAGATTTGTAATTTTTATGGTCTTGCCCTCTGAGGAGGATAATTCTTCTGTTTCATTGAATAGTCAATATGGTTGCTTTCCAGAAGTGTTTATGTTTTAGCTTTTCAGAATGATGTAAAGAAAATGGGAGTTGAGACCTAGTTTGCTTTTTCTCATAAGCAACAATTTGTTTTAGCATTTAAGAAGGCTGCAACATACCATGGGGATCCAAATACTTTTACATCTGACAGCTACATCCCAATAATTTCTTCAGTTTGCTTTTAGGAGCTTCAGAAGTCACCTAGAAGTTCTTTCACTGAGCAGAATTTCTCTGACCTTAAAGACCTGAAGTACATTTAACTGCAGAAAACATCTATTTACAAAGTAAATGTGTTTTCACTTACTCAAAGGGGACGGGAATCAGAATGTACAGTCCAATGGGAACCATGGAAAGCTAGAACAAAATCTAATGAAACCAAGGGAAGGTAAAGAAGGAACAATTAATTTGTACTTTCAAGGCTTTGTGTATGCAGAAGGCAACAAGAATAATTGTCAAAAAGATTATTTAAAATGGATTTAAGTGTGGCAAAAATGTAAGAGGCACTTTCATTGAACTTGTAAGGTACCAAGTCCAACTCTCTAACAGCACCCAAAAAATCTTGTCCTGGGGACAAGGATGAAAAAGCTTTACAAATATTTTCTGTTTAAAATTTGTAATGTCAGCCTCTTTATCAAATTTCATTCAAATAATTATGGAGCCCATGAGCTGAGAATTGCCATTTATGGAATCCATTCAGAGTAACACAAAGGGGTTCTGTTTCCCACTCACAGTATGACCAGCACTGCCATATGCCTGGTCTTCCCTCAAAATTTAAATGAGACACTTGGGTCATTCCAAACAGCATCTCGTGTGCCCTGTCCTAGCTGCAGCTCCTGAAGAGCAAGGCAAGGAAGTCAGCAAGGAGGAAGACAAGAAGGGTGTGCAGAGCTTGCCCTGGAGCCCTGACCAGCTGCAAAACTCAGGTCCTGGCCAAGGTGAAGAAGTCCTGCCAAAAGGCCTGTGAATTCAATGGGTGTCACAAGGAGCTGAAACATTTCTGTCTTAGAGAAGTGGGTGTTTGGAGCTTGGGGGAGGTGCTTACTTTGGGTAGTTGCCTTTATGAATTGTCTTCATTCTGCTGTCCCATCCTTTCTTCTCATCTCTGGAACTTGTATAGCCCATTTCACAGTGCTGCTGCTGCTGCTGGAAAAAGGGAAAAATCAGGAAGGAAAATGGTTCAATTTGCTTCTGCTGGGATATTTATTATCTTCACAGGATGGTAGTCTAGTGGTAGACTATAAAATACTGCTGAGCAAAAATTTTCTAATTGTTCATTAGCTATCATTAGGAAGAATGAAGTCTGTTATCTAAATTATTTTATTTTTATTTTAAGGAAAAACTTAAATACTATGAGTATTAATTGTATTTTATACATTTTCAATACTTACATTAGTACAGAGTGATGTTTGTCTTCAAATTGAAGATAATTTAAAGATAAAACAGCCATTTTGACATTTAGAAAACAATGCAAAAAGTGAATCTGAAAAGCTAAAAGTCTGGACTTAGAGCAGAACACCGATTTTCTTCAATTCACTGCTAAGACCTCCAATTTCTTTATTATAGTGAAATCGTCATGAACAATATTTGCGTTGTTTTATTCTACAATATTTCAGCCTGAAATAACTTCAGTTTTTTATTAACTGCAAGACTGAGTCCTATTCATCAGTTAGGCAGGTGTATTGCCTGATAATGCAATAAGCTTTCCTGGATGTATGAGTTGTTTTATGTCTTTTATACAGCAATCAGCCATTTCTTTTATACCAAGAGCGTAATAAAAACAAAAGGCTTATTTCTTTCTTACTGGTAGCAGAGTTATAAATTGTCATCCATCAGCAATAACTGTTGCCATTTAATAAAAAAATAAACCTTTCCTAAATCTCTCATGGAACATAATAGATAAGAATAAACAATGATATTAAAGTTGGTGCCAAAATGAAGGATTGCTGCAAGTGAGGATGTGCAGTGAAGTTATTTATGTAGATAACACAGTCTGGCAATCAAAAGGAACTAATTCAGTTGTAATAAAACAGATAATCCAAACTTTTTTGAAATCTAAATATGACTAAAAATTTTAATAATCCTAACTTGTTCTCCAAGTATTTCAAAGACAAAAAATTGGTCAGAAACACAAACTAATTTAAAAACAGCAACAATTGAGTCAGAATGTTCTAAATATCTCACCTGAACAGTACCTATAATCTGTTCACCTAAGGATCTCCGGAGAAAAGTTCCTCTTTCAGTCCTATCCTGCTTAGTTCAGACCATCAGACCAAAGTCGGTGGTTTTTTTTCTAGATTTTCTAGAACTAAATGTCAGCTTTAAAAAACCAACATGAGAATTGTTACTGCAGAAAGTCTGGAGATCTTGTAGCTGCAGCCAGATATGCACCATGTTTTTAAAATTGCAATCCAGATGAAAAGTTACTGTCTTGGGTTGCTGAAAAAAATCAAGTCTGAAAAGCCAGATTTTCAAACACAGTGAGCAAGCACTATTGAATGTGAACCTCTCTTTAAGACACAGCTTGTATTTACATGGAGTGACCACATGCTTAATCAAGAAATCGTACACAGAGTCTCTAGGAATAGGCAGAGCAAAAACAATGAAATGTGCTAATCAAAATCACTCTTTCTCCTCTTGGTCCAGTCGGGTTTCCCCTTTTAATGCTCTACCCCAGCACAGAACACCCCTCAGCTTCTCTCAGCTAAAACATTTTTGTACATTATTTAACCCCTTTCAAACTTTAGCATATTCAAAATGACAAGCACCACATTTTTTGCCATATTTGTTTGCAATGAATGGTGAGTCTATAAATATCTCCCATTCTCTCATCACTCTTACTCTCTGTTCACACAGCACAGTGTGTATATCTGTGGAGGGCATTTCTCACTCCCCAGCTGCAGAGCCCCTTCCCGGGTGCTCATGCTGTGTCTCACACTCAGAGGCTGCAGCAGGACAGGGTGATCAGCAGCTCAATAAATCAACAATATCAAGGTATCAACTGAAGATCACATTCCCAGAAAACCTGGGATTTGTGGATAGACTTATCATCTTCCCACCTGTTATCCTGAGAAGGTGATCAATCTTCCATCTTCCATCTGGATAAAAATTCTCATTCCCATTTACACAATGGCCATCTGGTGACTGGATCGTCACTGCTGTGCTTCAGGAGAGGGGAAGACACTTCTCCAGCTGAAGCAGGGCAGAGAGGGAAGCACAACCCCATGGGAAGCTCCTTCACCTTGGGTTCATAAGAGGATGGAGGAAGCAGAGACAATGAGACAATGCTGAGGAGCACTCACCAGATGAATGCTGCCTGCTCCAGAAATTTCAGCCAGGTGTGCCAGCTGCAAGCTGAGGTTGGAAGGACAGTACACACAGCTTCCTATAAACCCTGAAATTCAATACTGGCTTCTTTAAATACAGATATATGAACTACAAGGAAGAGAAATTATGACCTAGCAATAAAATTCATAGGGTTGTCTTCTTTTCTTTTTTTTCTTTTTGCTTAAAGTTTGAAAATGGAAAATATCTTTCCATTATCTCTTTCCTTCATATATAACCTTTATAAATCACTGGTACTCTATTAGTCTACACTGAGAAACCAATTTATATGAGCAAATATAATGACGTGATTTCCTTTCCTTTTATTTCCCCACACACCTGACCAACTTGAGGCTAAGGAAGATGCAGATAAGGGACTCCACAGAGCAGAGAATAAAGACACATGAGCCAGAGGAGATGTCAGAGAGGATGCAGAGGACATTCAACAGCAGAGTAGCAGGCTCACAGGGAGCAGATTAATATCCACTCTTTTGTAGGCACCAGCCAGAATGGAGCATTAGAACAAGCCATCTGTGAGAAAGGGTTGCATGACAAAATTTAAATAGGAGAGAGAAATCTTTATTTCCTATCCCTAATCACTTACTATGGATTAGTGTTAAATTTTGGGAAGTCACATCTCACTTCACTGGCAAAAGTTCTCTTACACTGGCAAAAGTTCTCTTACTGACAGTTGTGTCTTACAGCCATTCTGAAATAATTTTTTTCTCTCATTCCTTCCCTCTTTCACATTCTCCTTCCCTACTCCCAGTCTCTGGCAGCCCAAGTACACACCAGCCCTTTGCCCTTTGGGACTCATCCTAAAAGGGAAGTTATGCTGGAGGCTCATTCCTGAAATTCTGTCAGAGCCCAGGGTCCCATATGAGCACCTCCAAATTCTTTGGCATGGACGGCCAAAGAAAAATTTTTAGGAAAAAATAACCTTACTGCAAATGTATTTTAAGGACTAGGTGCATTTGGCCTCTGCAAAAAGGGTCAAAACTTCTTTCCTAAGGGTCCTTTCAAGAAATAGTGTAATGCACAAAATAATCAACTGTATCAAGAGGAGGGGAAATTGATTGCAAACATTTGTAAAACAATGAATTCAGCAAAACACCCAGGGTGACATTATAGGCTTTAGCATTTGGGCATGAAAAATCATCCTTCATGAACTCATTCATTGCAAATTCTAAGAAAATCATGACTTTTATACTGGAGATGGAGAAGGGAAAGAATTTGTTAAATAGTCTCTGAAAATGATGCTATATGCTTCAAAGATTAACAACATAAAATTTCCTTCATATAAACTGCAGCAATTCCTCAGTGTTTTAATAGCTTAACAAATGTACTTAGGAATTTTACAATAGAGAGATAGTGATAAGGCAATTATTTACTACCCACAAAAAGCTTTGAAACTATTTATTCAATATACCATCTAAATTACACATTAGGTTAACAGGTTGTAAATGATAATCTTGCACAAACCTCAAATGATGGCTTTTGCTTCCCAGAGTGATAACATTATTTCCAGCTAGAAGGGAATAAAAATACAAATTATTTTTTCATTGTGACCGTGAAAACTTTCCAGTTACAATTCGCATGCAGTTCAATATTTTACGCACAAGTGAAGCAAGCAAGCAACATTTACATGACAGAGTTATCAGTCTTTTTTTTTTATATTGCAGCTGTTTGGAAAGCCACAGGGCAAAGGCATTTATATATGAGATAAGCTCAGTCTGTAGAACAAATTAATGCTGGATTGTGAATTAAATGCCATGTCTTCGGACGGCTAATTAGCTTTGTGCTGCTCAATTAAGCTTTGAAAGGACATGTTGTGTTTCTTGATGGAAGAGCAAACATTTCCAGACTATTTCACATTCTCAGTGCTTTCTGTTTCTAGGACTGAGAAGTCCAAGAAGAAGGAAAATCCAGCAGCCTTACCAAAAGGTATCAAAGTCTAAACTACAAAGTAGGCAACAAAGTTATTTTCAACAGTTCTCAAAACCTTTGATTTTATGTCAAATAGCTTAAAAATGCAAACTAGTTTGGGATTGGAAGGGGCTATAAATCCGTCTTCAATGGTTCTTAAACTAGAAAAGTAGCAGGACCTCTCCAAGGAGAGGATAGAAACCCTGTATAACAATTTCCAATGTTTGTTAATATTGCCTCTTTATTCAGTTAATCCAAAATTTTCCACCTTTTTTCTTCATGGCTAGTATTAGAAGCATGAGCATTGAGCAAGAAACACTCTAGTGTCTTTGAATTCCTCAGTCAAGAGTTTGAAAGAGACATTGAAGTTTTAAGTCTGATATTTCTCTTGTTATCCAAACCCTTTGAGACTCATGCAGTAAGGGAAAACTTTCCAAGACCAGGTTTCTCACAAGAGCTTCAATACTTCATCTTTTCTTTTTTTTCTGCTGGTATTAACTACTCAGGTGACTTCTGCCTTCTCTTTTTCTGCTTGTCAGCCTTAGAGTAGGAAAGCCTAAAATTACCATGGAGAGGGAGTAAAACTAATGGAGATTCCTGTAAAGGAGTAATGGTTTTCAAATTCAAACCCATGGTGGTTCAGGCTGCATTGAGCTCTAGCAGTGGCATCTCTCTTGTAAAGTGAACAATCAAATTCTCTTTCCCAGTAAAATTTTCATTGCTCTGCACATTAATCTGCTGTTGAGCTGCAAATGGTATGTGCAGAGTCTTTAGTCAAAGTCAGCCAATAACCAACAAAAGGAAAAAACCTGTCATCAAATGCCTTTGGCATTGTGAACTTCAAGAATCAGTTTCATATCAGATTTCTGTACTAGGGTATTTTCTTCAGCCTGAGTCTTAAAGATAAGAGCATTTACGAAGCATTTTGGCCTGTGAAATAAACAGACATCAGAAATCTCTGTCAGAGATCACTGATGATCACACTAACAAAGAGGGTATAAAATCTGAGAAAATTCTGAAGCTATGAGAATGTTTTTTCATCTTCCGTCACCAGTGCTATTTATTGTACATTTCCAAGAAAATTCTGACTTTCAGAAACTGCACCTCAGAGGCAGATGTGGAAATCCATCCCAAGGAAGGACCTTCATCTACTAACCTGCAGGAGAGAGTACACATTGTGCATGATAATATGTGTGTGTATATATATATATATATATATATATATACATGCATATGTATTATATACAGTGTTAAAGTGGGCCCAGACAAACTTGCATGTTATTCTGGCACCTCAGAAAGGTTCCCTTGTCAGAAACAGATAGAACAGCTGTGCATCAAGAATATTTTTCTGTAGCTCTACTTTTAAAGACTTTTTCTTCCAAAGCCCCTATTTAGCATGCTATGCTATACAAGTTTATAAATTCATGTACTCTGCACCTAAACATACGATATGTACATTCATCTGTAAGACCATTACAGAGAACCCCTTTTAAATATGAGCACGTTTTGTGCTTTATTTTTTTGCTTCACTCTGTTTACTCCAGAGAAAACACTCAGTGTTCCCACTCTTGCAACTCCTCTTTGAGAAGGAAAGAAAAATTCCTCAGGGTTAAGCAGGAAAGTTCTTTGAAATCAGAAGTTAAATCCATAGGTAGAAATACTGAGAAAAGAGTTCTTTTCATGAGCTCAAATGAAAACTCATCTAGAAACCACAAGGAAACATTAACACTAATTTAACAATAGTTTTCAAAGTGATGCTTGGAATTTTTGTATGGCAGTTCAATCTCTTGTAGATATTCCAGTATAGACAACCTTTAAAATTTAAACTGAATGTGTCTATAAGGGCTTCATTGTGGCATTCCTCAAACTTTAACATGAATTAGCTCCTGATGCTTCTCTTGGAGAACAAAAACAAAATGTAAGCAGGTACACCTGGCAGGCACAACTTCCCACAATGATGGAAAATTTCAGTGCACAGAGCTAAGAAACCTGTTCTCCACATAGAGAAATCAGCCTGAGTGCATCATTGCCTGGCACTGAAACAGCTCTCCCATAAATACATGAATATTTTCCCAAAACCATATTTTCAGTTAAGAATGTTTAATTTGCAGTTGTGACTGCTTGCACAATGTTTAAAATGTTCGAAGCGCACAAGTGGTCTTGAGAATCTTAAGTTATAGCTACTAAGAAAATATTTTCAATTCCTTGGTTACTCTAATATTGCATCTTTTTTTCCTTTCTTGTTCTTTTTATTTTTTAAAGACAGTTAGTTTTATTTTTGCCTGGTTTCTCCCTCAACATTCATACCATCACATTTAATTAAGCAGACTTAAAACTCTGAACACACTTCAGATATACCAGGCCTCATATGCCTGTATATAACTCAGAAGTGCTTCCTACAGAAAGCTGTCAGAGTGGAGAAACAACATTTGTCTGAGCTGTATTTAACATTCTCAGAGTGAATCTGATTCTCTGTCAAGAGTGAAGAATTAGTGAGAGCCTGCCATGAAAGGAAGAGAGCTTGCTTTGTTCTGAGTCCAAGAAAACCAGGATCGCTACTTCCTAGATTGTATATGAATCCTGCCGCACTTTGTTTTTCAAAACCCTTAATATCACTGGTTTAAAGCAAGGAGAGTTCAAAATGCACTAGAATACATCTGCTGATTAAATAAATTATTAAATATTGTGCTGTATTACCCCTGCAGATTCTGCAAGCCGTTCCCAAATCAACCTTCTGAAGCAAGCACAGGAGGGAACAGGAGGTCCTTGAGGCATTGGTTTCTAAGACTTTGGATAAGCCAAGGTCACATGAAGGAAACCAACATGCCCAGAAAGGAAAAGCAGGTGGAAGAATTAAACATAAATTGCACAATAACTGAAACCAAACAATGTGTTTTGAGAGAAACAGGAAACAAACTTCTTATTTATGTAACAGGAGTAACAATAGCAGGTGAAATTCTTCTTTCAGAAGCATTTCTCAGCCTCCAAACACGTGGCCCGAGGGACACCCCTGGGGCAGCAGAGCCTTCCCTGTGCCCTGCAGGGCCTCAGTGATCCCTGTGACTGAGCCTGGACCAGTGACTCCTGCAACTGAGCTGGGCTGATGAGCAAAGCTGCTGCTTTCCTTTGCTGCCTCCCCCATGCTCCCTCCCAGCAAAGCCCCCTTTGAGCTCAGAAACCTCCCTCAATGGGAAGCACAGGGCTCAGGGGAAGTTCTGACAGACATTTCCCCCTGAGAAGCCTGTGAACAAAGATTAATGGCAGCAGAAGCCCAGATAAAAGCTTGACTATGTTAAATGCCAGAAATATTCCTTATTTCCCCTTTCTTTATGAAATATGATTTTATCTTGACTTTTCAGGAATTCAGCATGATTGCTGTTTCAATTAACTTAGTGTTCTGTTTGCCATTAGTACAGTACACAATAATGTAACCCATTGTAATGTCCCAGGGCTTTTTTCAAAGATGCTGATTTACAGCAGGAAAGGGATTTTGTGTTTCTTGCCAGTTATAAAATTGTTAAGGTAAAGCCAGGAAGCAGAAATGTTAGCATTCATTTCATCTCCAGCTGCTTCTATTTCCCCATGAAGGCTGCAGTAGGCAGTTCAACATAAAAGAAAGTTATTAAAAATTCCACACCCTTGAAGCAATCTTCATAAAACTGATAAAAATTCAATTTTCAAATTGCTTAATACAGCCTTCTCTTGACTAACACAGTTATCCTAACTTAAGGACCTTTTAAACTAATGACCTGGAAGGAATAGAGAATATTTCATTTGAATCTGTGCAAAATTTGAAGAAATGCTCTGTACTCTGACTTTTTGCATCTCTTAGTACCATTAGTAGTCCCTGAGCATCTTTCTCTGCTATGGAAACTTACAGGAAAGAACAGGGTGATTCATAATGCAACAGAAGTGATTAAGTACATTTGAACTCAGAAATATTAATAAGTTGCTGGTCATATATTTAAAACAAAGTCATGAATACATAATGGCTTACAAGTCCCATTCAAATATTACATTAGTTGAAATAATGAAAATTTACTTAACTAAACCACCTAGGAGCAGAACATATAATAAATTATTTTTGGACTTTGAACTGGAGTTGTGATAATTTATATCTCATAGCTCTTTTTCAAACACAACACTTGAATAAAAAATTTTAAAAACAACTTTAGTGTAATGAATCTACATTAAAAACTACATTCCCAAATTTGTCCAGCTTAGAGGATTATATCCCTAGTTATATCCCTAAGAAGATTTCTTGAAAGTTTCTTAAAAGCTTCCCTACATAAGACAATACACATAGATCAGTCTGCAGTAAGCCTAAGAATCAAAAGGAAGCTAAACATTTGTCTTTGTCAGCCCCTCTGGAGGAAGTGGCCCAGATTTGTAAAAGGCTTTGTGCAGAGCAGAGTACAGAGAGATCTGTCCTGCGAGGTGCTGGGTGATGGCACAGACCTGAGTGGCACCTGCAGCCCCCTGCTCCCATTCCCAGCTGATTCCTGGCACAGCCCTTCAGCAAACAGGAGGTCAGGCCCCGAGCTAAACCAGCACCTTATCAGCTGCTGGTGGATTCCCACAGTCAGTAAAATAATTCCCTCA